CTGCCGAAGTTGCTGGTACGGTGATCAGGATGCGAATAATCAAAGTACGCTTGGAGACCCTCCAACGTTGTACGCACGGTCACCTCACCAGCTGGTTCGGGGAGGGTTAAGCTCAAATTCGCTCGAAAAACTTCTTGGCGCCTGTGTCAGTGAACTCCATGTCCACGTACGGAAGAACCCACGGTGGCAAGGTGGACGAAGCCGGCACCGTAGGGCGAACATCAGACAACACTCGGTGAGGCAACGGCTCAACCGACGGTGCACCACCACGACGCGGCACCGAAGTGTAGGTAGCCGTGATCATGCGCCCAGTTCCAGCATCGAGAGTCCAAAAAGGCGGACGAGGAGACACCGGGACAGGAGGTGAAGATGCTGGTGCTGGGTGACTTGCCGGTGACGAAGGAGGCGGACCGCCGACTATGATTGGAGAAGTCATACTTGGCGAAGGATTTGGCTGAGGTGGAGTCGGAGGACGAGCTGGGCCAAGATTGCTCTAATTTCTGTCGGAATCTTCAATATCTTCGTCATCGAGTGTGCTTGAATGATCGGTAGGTGGCAGAACATCACCACCACCACTGGGGGCATCAGGAGAATCATCTACCGAAGGTTCATTGTCATCCACGTCATCTCCACGATCGTCATCAGCATTTCCATCGTCATCAATCTCCATCGAAAAGTCGGGCGAAGACACGCTTGGTACGACAGCCGCCGGAACAATTAGAGCCGGCTTTGAAGACACGGATGCTGGTGGAGCAGCTTCAACAGGGGCAGGCCCTGCTGTAGAAACCACTTTCGAGACTTCAACTGTCTTGGACGTCGCAACAGACGCCGAAGCAGACTTGCCTTGTGGGACAGTGTGGTCCGACTCTTCACCTTCATCACTTGAGCCGAACATGAGTCGCATTTGCTCGGCCTCACGCAGAGCTGCTTCAGTAGCGTGTATGTCGGCTGGAGAAGGAGAAATCGTTGAAGCCGGTGGCTTGGCCACATCGGGTGGACCCTGAGGCGGGGGCGAAGGCGCGTCAGGAGAATCAGGAACATCGTTGTGATCCCCATGGTCCACATCTTTAACCGAAGGCTCTGTGGCAGTTTATTGAACCGAAGGGACGCTGCTTGGACCAGCATTCCCCATGTCCACGTCACTCTGGTCACCGCTGAGGTCGACCACGGCAGGAGGTGAGGAAGGCGCTGGTGTAGGAGGTGGCGACCATGAACTTGGAGAAGACGGTACAGACTTGGACTGAGTCTTCGTATGATGACGAGGCGACTTGGCAGGAGAGTGGGGACGAGACTTCTTGCGCTTCTTCTGGGCCGCCTTCTTTCACGCCTTCGGGCCGAACAGCGATCTACGAGCCGACTTGGGAGTTGAAGTGGCGCATCACCGAGACCAGCAGCTGCCATCGAAGTACTGGCCTTGTCCGTCGGGATTGGAGCCTTGTCTTCGTCAGAGTCGTCCGGATTGTCGTCTGAATCCTCGCCACCTGGTCGAAGGCGCTTATGGGACTTCTGATGGGCCACTTGGTGAGCGGCCTTGACCAAAGCTGCAGGAAGGGCTTGAGGATCGTCCGAAGACGCGGTAGCAGACTGGATGCGCCGCAAAGCGACTAACGTCTCTTGATCCAAGTCCAGCGCGTCCAGGTCCAGCTCACCCGCAGTTAGACCTATCACGAAGGATTGTGAACGACTGTTAGTTGCAGAACACACGGTGGAAAGAGCGACATTAGGAACGTACCATCAACAGCCAGACGAAGTACCTCGGGATCCATCCCGGCCAGACTCACGTGTGCACGGAGGGTGCGATTCGCTTGGAGGAGACGAGTATTACGGTCTTGCTGGTTCTCGAGGACCTTGAGCGTGTCGTTATCAACGTACTTGCCCTGGGCAAGCTTTACGAGAAGGAGATGAAGCTTTCGAGTCTGCTCGGTATTCGCTCCAATGGAAGACTTGTACACCTCCCGTTCGCGAGCCAGCTTCATGTGCAACGTGTTGATGAAATCGTCCCGAGCTTGGACCTTGCAGTGCAGACGATTCAAGTCTTCTGCGTGTCGCTCCATAGTGGCTTGAACAGTGGCGAGCATGGCGTCGTTCTTGGCGTTCGACTCGCGGAGAATCTTGACGTTGTGGTGAAGGGCTTCGATCTCAGCGTTGGCAGCCTTGAGGAACGCCTCCGCGCTCTCACGAGCCATGATTTCGGGTACCACCGAACGTACGGCGGCAGCAGCCTCGGACTGAGCAAACCGCAACTGACGCTCCAAGTTGGCGACTCGTTCGGGTAATGCCGACAGCGCGTCAGGAAGAGGCTGTACCGAAGCGAGGACATCATCAAAACCAACAGCAGTCTCGAGGCGACGTTGAGCGTGTACATCGCCGTGGAGAGGAGGCGCAACGCTGAGCTGCACTTGGTGACGAGCCATTGCAGTCAAGTACGGAATTATCGAGGTCATCATGTGATCGACCGATGCCTCCGTACTTTCAGCCAGCATGGCGCGCAGCGAATCTTCGGTGAGTGGTGGTGGACCACCAGCAGGAGCAGGAGGAGCAGCAGGAGCCATCTCCGAGGATTCAGCGGCGACAGGGAGTGCCGCAGGAGCTTCCGCAGGAGCTACCGCAGGTGGTGAAGAGTCCGAGGCAGGAAGCGCCGGGGGACCGGCTGATGACGCTGCTGTCAGGGGAAGTTTAGCAGACTGAGGGGTGTTCGAACCCTCGGTCTTACCCTCCTGAGAAACAAGTCGAGTAATGCGAGGTGATGAGCAAGGTGCCGATGATTCAAGAGAAGGATGAGCTGACGTACCTCCAGCTGTTCACGTTCGCGACGTCGGCGAGGGTTGAGACGCTGAAACACGTCGGACACGGCTCGGTTCAAACGCTTGGACGTACGAAGACTGGATGGTGAATTGGAGAATGAAGAAATGTCACAGCGAGCACCAGTGCCGTGGCGTCCATTGCGACAGGGGCAGTTGTGGTGTAGTGATTTCTCCGTAGTTGCGGATTATTACCCGTCGACAAAGACGTGACACCGCCCAAGATGTTCAAGCGACGAACCCTTGGTCATGTGATGTACGGAGACGCCAAGGTGCAAGGGACTCGACGGCGTCACTTCCGAGTATTGGATACGGTCCATATGTCACTGAATCCAGGCTGTCCTTATTATTAATAATGGACTGGCCGGATTCGCATTCAGCGGACCATCTACGGTACGAACCCTCAGTGGCGGTTGGGATGAGTTCGCGGAATACTCAGCGACCCTTGGAAGGCACGTTCACCGTCTGGGACAGGGCGCGGACCATTAAAGATACTCATGCGACGGTGCAGACGACGCTTGGCGTGCAAGAAGATCCATAACGGATCCTTGTTCACTTGATATTTGTATACTTGATTAGGACTTCTTATTAGGAATAGACCCGAAAGGGTAAGCTTAAATACAGAACAGAATTTCCACTCAAGCACACAGAGCGACGTCCGGCTTCAAGGTAAGCGTCAGGTCAAGCTTGTTTGAGTGTGTTATGCCTGTCGGTGAACTCGAAGCTCTGTAGCGAGAATTCATCCGGCAAGGCCAAGAGACTGTGTGTTGTGGCCGATTATTATCGGGAGGTTTTACGTGACGGCTTATTGTTGCCTATTTGCACGACTGGAAGTGCTTGAATTGCATCCCTTTTATTCTTCCAACCGAGTGTTGAACACTCGGTGATCTCGTAAAAGGCTTACCGTGCCTGGTACCCTTCCGCTGTTGGGACCACGAGGATTCAAAACACCTGCTAGCTTTGCTCGTGCTAGTAGCGTGTTCTTATTTTTACTGGCTGGCCTATATAAGTAGTTTACAAGGTCCAGTTTGTCCCGGTGCAAGGGCAGAACTGGGGTCTTCAGGTCCGCCCGAACGATCGTTTACTATCCTAGTAGACGTATTGTTGTGGGAACGTCCTAACTACATTTGTAGCTAGAGCTCACGTGGAAATTCCAACACCACATAGTGCTCTTGGCGTGCGCCTTCCGGGCGGCAGCCTTGGAGCGTGTCTTCGCATCGCTCTTTGCAGTGCCACGAGGCATAGTAAACGGTCAGAGTGGAGACCTAGAAGAAGAGTGCACAGACTGCTGCTCGAGGGTCTAAGTGTGAGGTGAGCCTCCTCCGCGCTCGCGCGGCCAAGTCGATGGTTTGCGACTTTGAGATTGAAAGTTTGTGACAACACTTCTTCATTCTGATTGGTCGGTAAACCGAGCCTAAGTGGGGGAGGATGTAACGGGGTACGTATCCCTAAGTGTACCCTAGTTACATGAAGTGTGACACGTCACACTTCAGAAGTATGACACGTCATACTTCGGGATTTTTGGTACAAGGTACCAAGGTCGTCCATAGCCAACCATTGGCTGATGACATTGCTTTTCTATAGGTGACTTATAGTTTGTATTTATCCCAAGCTTTATCTACCTATAAATATACTCGGTACCTTAAATTGGTCATACTCTCCCTTTCGATAAAAGGGGGCCTGTGAACTTCTGTTCACTGAGCGTTTGTATACTCTCGGAAGCCAACTTCCTCTAGCGCAAGGTGCTGTGTGACCCCGTCATAAATACAAACTATAATCACCTATAGAAAAGCAATGTCATCAGCCAATGGTTGGTACCTTGTACCAAATATCCCGAAGTATGACGTGTCACACTAGAAGTACACTTAGGGCTACGTACCGAGTAGGAAGCAGAGTCAACACAGACAGTGGGCTTCAAAGGGCACTAGCTGTATTGTTATGACTGCAAGTTCTCGACAAATTTTCGACTGACTCTCTCCTTTCTTTTGTCTTACTCCACCATCAAGTTCTTCATTAAGTACGACTCAGAACATTCCTTGTGGTAAATAGAATTTAGGCTATTTTTATTGGCTAAAACTAGGTGGAATGTGTCATAAGCCTGTGCGGTAAGTAAATTTTAGGCTATTTCTATTGGCTAAAACTGGGTGCAACGTGTCATAAGGACAGCAGAGCCTGCGCAAGTTGTCGTCAGCATCGCCAATGCTGGACTTGCTGTCGCCTCTGCGCGGCTACATTGCGCAGAACCTACAGTTCTATCTAAGCAAGTACATCGAGGACATCCAGCTCGAAGGATTCGGGCTTTTCGGGGGCGACCTGGTGCTCAATGATCTGGAAATTAAGCGCCATGTTCTCCGCGAGAGTCTCGAGATCCCGTCAAGCTTTGACTTTTCGCGCGGCTTTATCCGTGAGCTTCGTATCCACATCCCGTGGACGCAGTTGCTCTCTCAGCCCATCGAAGTGAAGCTCTACACCATTGAGCTTATCCTTACGGGCAAGAATAGCGCAGCCAGAACCTCTTCGGTGGATGCAGCAGTCGATAGAGAGCCTGAGATCGATCAGCCCAAGTCCGGGTGGATCCACGACATGCTGCAGAAAATCCTAGCCAATGTGAGCGTGCAGATCAATAACCTAGTGCTCAAATACGAGCATGATGACGTTGTATTCTCCATCGCACTGGGGGTGAGTTGGCAACGGTTTTCTTTTGAGTGCGCAATTGCTTGAAGAGTTTTTTTTTACCTGTGTTGCGGTGATTTGTTGTGTAGACTCTCGATTTCTATTCTGCTAGTGAGAGCGATGGGTGGAAACGCAGCTTTGAGGAGCTGAAAGGAGGTCGACGAGCAATTTGCAAGAGGATCGATGCAAAAGACGTTACAAATTTTTTAGATAGATACAAAAGCGATGGAGCTGCAAAAGAAGATACGAGACAGGGCACGGTACGACGGAAGGTGGTGGGATACGAAGTACCAGTGCTGAACAGAACATCGGTGTCAGTCCGAGCAAAGTTGCAGCTATTTCCTAGTGCGGCGAAGGATGACCACAGAAGCAAATCGACGTCTCCTGCGTTGCCCATGCACCAGCAGCCACCTGTGGCGAATCTTGACCGAGCCGAAGGAAATATTTTGGATGTGGATGGATTATTCGCGTACAGGCCATCCGTTATGTGTGACCCGTTTTACTATTACTCGTGCAATCGCTCAAGTGTGACGGCCATGTACGAGGTGGACGTTTTTATTGGCAAACTATTTTTTTCGGTCAGTGATAGACAATTAGAGATGCTGAACCAACTTATACAGAGCGCCAGTCGCAAGATTGACCAAGCTCACGAGCTATCCTACCAAGTACGAAACTGTAATTGCGTACGGGGTGATGGTATGAAAGCTGGGCCCTCTGTTGCCCCTAATATTTCTGTCGAGACTTTCCAAGAAGATGAGGTGAACACTCAAAAAGTGGGTGGCACATCTACGAAGCAAGAATCGTGGTTCGGTTGGGCAATGAACGCCCTGGGTGCTGCTGAAAACGAGGAAGAGGACGGGCTAGTTTCCGAGCTGCTTGCGGAAACAAGCGGGGCTTTGCTAAATGGCCAACCGGCAGCGAGTGACTCTGGTGAAGATATGCTGGTTCCGAGTGGCCCAGTCACAAAAACGTCATGTGTACGGGTGTGTGTCAGTTCAGCCTTTTTAACGCTCCGTAAGCATGAACAGGAAGTGGAGGTGGAGCTTCAAGATTCCACGATTGTGGAGGACGGAGAAGAGTTCGTTCCTGTGGCAAATCTTGGCATGGTGAAGGTTTCTCTTCAAACAAAGAAGCAAAAAGTAGCTCGACCAGCGGTGCCAATTTTCCACTTGACTCTCAGTTATATTGCTCTCGAAATGCTGCTAGCGCGAGGACAGGAGCAAAGCGGGATGGACCTGGTATTTGAAGTCGAAAAAGTGGAACTCGCGTCTGCTACGACCAGCGAAAATCTAGAGGACATGAAATGCAAGAAAGGAGAAGTGTTGCTTGCATGGGGCTCAATCGACGCATCTCACTTCTCCGATTGCGTCTCGCACCCATACTTCATTAGTTCATTCTTTGGAGAGGAAACAACGCGGCTGAATCAGCGTGAAAGTCGAAGCTTTGAAATTGTCAAAGTGAATCTAGATGCTAACATCCCTATTTGGAAAACAGTAGGCGTTGAGGGAGGTAGAAGAGACTCAGATGAGAACTCAGACTTCCCGTGCGATTGTTTTACGACATGGAACGGCGAATACATCCGCTGTATCCCGATGACCACTATATCTCGAATATGCAAGCATACAATCAGGCTGATTGGATTCAAAGAACGAGTCCTCGATGAGGGGATTTTATCAAATGCCGTCTCGACAGCTTGGGCTTCGAGTGGGTTTCCTATTTCAATCTCTGAAGGAGTAGCGCGTGCTTTGAGTTCAGCCGCGGATGAATATCGAGTACATCGCGACCTAGATCTTGGAGCACTAGATAATCTAGCGCTACTGCTCCAGCCGCAGCTAGTCACTCTATTTTCTCGTTACGCGCTTCATTCGTGCTCAGTGGCTTCTCTCCATCCATCATCTGGTTCCTCAAATATTCGCCACCGAAGCGTTCATTCGGCTGTGCGCATGCGGTCAGCATCGACGTCGAGCACCACTGAGCATGACGTATTCTCTCCTGACGTTTATTTGAAGGAGGAGTTGATCTCTAAAGTGTTGGATATATCTATTGGTGCTGCCCAAACTGTATTGGAGCCTTCACAATGTTTGGAGATTCTGGAAGCACTATCAATTTTTACACGTAAGGACGACGACGACGGAGACAAATCGGTGGTGGAATGTGATGAAACGCCAACACCGACTAGCGAGAACGTGGAATCGAGTATTCGATCAATTATACAGAGCGACGTCAAATTCATTACGGCGAGCAAAGTGCATATTTTGATCCCTGGCGTACATGCGGATTCAAAACAGGATTCTATTGGAGTGAATTGTCGTGGTGGCTTGAACTTAATTGCGAGTGGGTTTACGTGGTTGGGAAGCTTTTATCCGGGCAACACTAAGAGCCATCTCCAGCTTGGTGCGCTAACTACATATTTGGAAAGAGCTCAGAACGACTTCACAGTTTTCCCACTCGTAGAAGCTTTGGGATTCGAACTATTGTCCACCGAGAGCTCTGCGTATGCCGGTGACAATGACGGGTTGTTCGCAAGTTTGATCAAACTGAAGATCGACTTCAGCTTGTCTGTCGCACACGATGCTGCAACTGTGATAAACAGGGTATCAGGCCTTTTCGGATTTCCAATTGCGTGGGAGCCAATGAATTCGCCCTCCAAACGACTGCAAACTTCGTTTCAGGTTGAGGTATGCCGGGCTGGATTCTCCAGAATTGTGTCGGATCGACCCCGACTGGTGATGGCTCAACATCAGTCGTTTAACGGAGAAGTTGCATCAGTCAGTGCCACGATAAAAACGACAAAAGGCATGAGCTCGATTCTTCAAGGCGGTGTTGCTCCGATGGCGATTCGAGGATATAAAGCCAAAGTTTCTTCCTTTTTCACGTTTGTTTTTGCGCAGGAAAAGTCGCCCGGTCGACTGGATGGTGTGCCTCTATTGGGCTCGCTTGGCCTGTTTTCTCTGAACCCCGGCTTGCTTACAAGCACTTGTACACAATGTAATCTGTCTGTTCAAGCGCAGCTTGCACATGTGTATTTGGATATGCGAGGTGTCAATCAGCTCGTAGGTGCTGCCCAACGTTTCGTGAAAGAGATCACAGCAAGCTTTTCTGTCAGAAAAGGCTCGATACCGACACTTGAATGGTCTGACAAAGTTTTAAAGGAGGGAGATTCAGCGACCAGGGTTCCAACGAACTGGAGCGTTACCGTAGATGTGAAAGTTGGAGGTGGTGACATTCGTGTGAACGAGGCGCTTCAATCAAAATTTAGCTTACTATCGGTTTCATCGGTCGAGAAGAATACAGTTTCAACAGACCCAGTGAATCCCGGGGGAGGGCTCAAGCTCGTACTTGCAACGAAAGGTGCATCATTGTGTGCAACGGAAAGCGGGACTCTTGCAGGCCTTGATGATCCGATGATATTAAGTATCGAAGACGTTGGCGTTTCTGTTGATATTTCACACCGATACGTCGACTACCGCCATACGTACTCAATCGATGCTACGCTTCACCTATCGAGCGTTAAGGCATCGCTGTCTCGCCTAAAGGTACTCCACACTGCCATGGAAGTTTCTCTTACAATCCCTGTTGCTATGTAGTACTACTTAATGACTGATGCTGTGCTGTGTTTTCGTGTAGCTGTTGTATCTCCTAAAGCTCCCATTCCTCGAGTCTGAAGCGGAATCGAGAAAATTGGTTGGAAGTGACGTTTCTACTGCACAGAAATCGGATAAACGCAAGGATGAGAGTCGAGCTGTTTTGCGTTGTCGGTGGTACTGGAGGCTAGGTGCTCAGATTGATCGTGCAGATTTCTCATGTACAGCTGACATGTACCACAGCTCAATCCTCCGAAGGAGACAAATTCGAACGGTTGTAAACGGAAAGGTACTCAACATTGGTGTAGCTGCACGAATTGGTAATTGCCACCCCACCAATAACCAACAACAACTAGTTGCGCGAACTCAGTTCACTGATATCCAGATATCCGTTGGTAATATCCAAGTGGTGGAGAGACTTCAGAACTCACGGCGAGAAATTCGCACTGGATTTGGTGATTTTTCGCGGCTACCAGAGCATACGTTTATGGGCATACTGGTGTGCCTAGACTTGCCTGAACTACAATGCCTATCAGAGACCTTCTGCGTTTCCAAAGCCAGTGTGGACGCTCAGCAGTATTTACCATCGGTTATGCTTTCGTGGCATTTGACAAGCAGCGTTGCTAAAGTCTTCCAGGAGGCAAACGCCAAGTGGCACCGAAGCGAAGCTGATACGAATCAACCCACTGCTGAAATCCCTCTGATTGCAACGTGGAACGACCCTGCGTTGGCGAAGACTGCAAACTCGTTTCCGCTGTTGTCGGGATTTTACCGCAATTACAGTGAAGCTGGTTTTCCTTATCGTGTCATCGCGGGATCTATGGAGAATGTGGACGTTATCGTCTCCACGTCAAGCCTATACTGTCTTGCTTCAGTGTTGGATGTGCGTGGTAGAGGACTTACAAATCCCTCCTCCGTATCAAGTGCAAATACTGAAATGGGTGATCCAAGGACGAAGGAAAAGCCAAAAGTATCCTTGGCTAACGTTGAGGTGTCTGTTTTGCTTGGTAAAGTTCGTCTGATCCTCCCAAACGAAAGTCTGATGGATTCTGTCTTGTCAAAGCAATCGGTGGTGCCAGGAAATGTTGTATTGGTGTTTGAATCGATGTCGCTGGCATCTGCCGTTCGCAATGAGATTTCGTTGGATGGATTAGGATACCCTCCATTTAATTCTAGAATGCTTCCGCGACGACCTACTCTTCAACCGCAACGATTTGGCCAGTCACAGCTTCGAATTGGTAGCAGAGCTGGCAAGCTTTTTGGATTCGTTGCAGACTTGAAATTCAACGCAGAGATTCCTACTTCCAAAAGCGTGCTAGATGCAGTTGGACCATTTGAAGCGTACATGGGTTCTGGAGCGGGATTTCCAGTTCGTTTCGTCAATGTAGATACGTTCTGGTCGCCGCTCAATGTGACCTGCAGCATTGAAGAGGAATCCGTGGCTGGAACTGAAGGCAATGACCCGGGAGTGAAAATAACTGCATGCATCGCTTTGACTAAGTTGCGACTCGATCTGCATAAATCATCGTTTGACGTGTTGGTTTCGCGGGTTGTAGGAATAATTGGAGGGATAAATTCTCTTCGACGATCTATTGCGACACAATCACAGGCGCAATCGATTTCAATGCACTTAGATAAAGCGCCGGAGGCATTTGTAGGTCCTGAGTGCACAGACCAGCGAGAAGTGGCGTTTTCGTGCGATGGAATCGAGATAAATCTGTTCGAGATGAGTAGATCCACACATATTCGCGTCGGCTCCATCATTCTCGTGCACAATTCGTCGACTCTGTCTGGGAGCGCTAGTATTCAGAACCTAGCGGTGGGTCATCGTACTAACGACAATTCGACATCCAAGACCGTCGCAGTAGAAGAAGTAGTCTTTGGTGTGAATGCGGAGCCGAGTTTGTGGCAACTAGCTGTGGAGAATTATCCAGAGAAGTTGATTGCTACCCGGTGGAGTTTTGGAGATCGTTTGGAGGGAACATTGTTTCTTGATGTACAAGCCTATCAGCTTCACGCATCGCACCACTTCATCCAAGCGTTGGTTGATTTTTCTCGTACCGAACCGGATTTATCGTTTTCTGGCCAGTGGGAGCAGGCAGCTATTAATAATGAGAGCGATGTCCGCGCCCCGGATCGCAAGCCCTTCGTTTTGCAGAAGAGATGGAATATCAAACTTCTTGTCGCTCCGAGTGTAATGTCGTACTGGAAACAAAATGTCAACAATGAGGGAAAGTCAGGCGTTTGGATGAAGTCTGGTCAGCTTTTCGCGAGCGCAGCGGTTGGAATTGATGACATTGGTCTGCATTCATTGCGCACGTATGGTCCTGCTGTCAACGACATCAATCGCTTTGTCACTGTCCCCACGCTGGAAATGCTGCTAAATGTGGACAAATTTGGCTTAAACACGTCCAATGACTTGCCTCCTTTGGAGGTTCATTTTCAGAGAGACTCTGTCGGGCCCAGTCGCTACACACACAGTCAGTACGTGGCAGCGTTTCTCAAAGTACATTAGTGGGGTGTCCGAGGCTCAGCGCTTGCTGCATGACTGTAGCGTTCGAGTCACTGGAGACCACCATTTAATGCTGGAGCGAGTTCCCATTACTGGCGCCGGAGTGTGCTTACTGTACACGGACATGGCACAAACCAACGTGCAAGCTGAGGCAAACCCGCTGTGTGTAAAACTCTCGTCGTTCTCCTTGAGAGCGATACAGTCTCTCTTGTCTGCTGGTAGTGGGAACCGTCTTGATCACTCAGCCAAAGACTCACCTGACATACGCAGCAACAGTGAATTTATCATACACAGGAGCATTGGACCAGAAAAGTTCGATTCGCCCTCGACTGACGATTTTAAGGATTTGAGGCGGATGGCGGAAGGTCGTCGACCATTACCTGGAGAGCTGGTGCTTACGGAGACCCTGTTGATTGAAACGAAAAGTGCTGTATCGAGCTGTTCTCATCCCGTTGAGGACACAAAAGTCCACACTCTGATTGATCCGAACAAATACGATATAGAGTTATCGGATGTGACAGCTTTTCTCAAGGACTGCAACAAGCCATGGGGGATTGAAGAGCAGCAGGAAGCGAGTGGAGAACGGCCTTCTTACAATAATAAGACGCACAGCTGGATGGGAATGCGTTGGTGTTACCACATACCACGCAAAGTTTGTAAGATTGTGGCTGCGCCTGTGCCAATTCCCCCTAATGGAGTTCCAAATGGCTGGCCTTCATGGAACTGGAATCAGGATCAAGAAGATGACACGAGTCGGCTTTGTGACATTCTTTGCCAATTGCGATACTGGGATAGTAAGAAATCTTGCTACGTTGTTGTCTGTGAGTTTTTCGTACCGTGGGAAGATGCGTCAGCTAATGTGAGTACCAACAAGCTGGATAATGCCAACGAACCGGGGAGCTTTGGCGAGTTGATGTTCCAATGGTTCGACGATGATATGGAGGAAACACGGTATCGAGCGAAGATGCGCGAGTTTGGTGCGCGAACTAGAGCTTATACGTTTAATAATGAGATGCCGTCCGACAATTGGGAGCTGAGATGGAGAGCTCCACTACATAGCGAACAGGAACCCGAGGTACGTACAGTATTTGTGCGGTGATTATTGGACCAACTAACTGTTTGATGTAGAACAAACAAAAACGGCTCGTCGTGAACGCCTTGCTTGCTTCTTCATTGCAGGTACATTCCGTCCTGACCTGCGATGCTTACCAGCGTGTGGTTTCGAATGTCACGCTACCACAAGTTACTCTGTCTGTAAGCCACGTCGGTTCTGAAAACGAATCCCACGACATCATTACCGCGGAGCTCAACGATACAGATATCGCGTGTGCGGTTTCCGGACACCCTCACACAAGAACGCTGATTGTACGAGTATCTTCAGCGATACAAGTTTATCTGGACAATATGGTTCAGCTACTGACTGTATCAGTTGTCCCACGGACCACTATTGACGCGATGGTCGAGGTGTCTTCGAAAGGGATTGGGGTTTCTACACTAATTGGTCCCGTTTCGCTGTATCTGAACCAGACCGCGATACTCGTAATATCTGCAATTCCGAAGCTTTTGCAAGCGAAACCGAAGCAATCCCAAGCTATTACGGCAAGTCCAGACAAGAGAATGTCCAGTATGCGCATACGGATTGTCAACCACACTGGTGTGGATATTTGGTATCGGCAAGAAGGAACTTCAGAGTGTTTGCTGCTACCTTCGGATTCTAGCTCAGCATATAGCTGGCTTTCACTGGCAAGTAACCCGTTTTATCAGCTACGCTTCGCAATGGACGATCCGCGCGAGAAGCTCCTTGACAAAATGCACGCTGACGATGTGTCAGCGGAACAGGAAGACCCGCGTTGGTGTGATCCGTGCAGGATTAAAGAAAATGCTGTCACTGGGCGGTATTTTGGTGGTCACGGCTTTGTCTGGATTTGCGTGGAGCTATGCGGATTGCAAACGATGGTCACGCTCCGCTCGTCACTGACGGTTCGTAATTACTGCGAATTTCGTGTGCGGATCAAAGTAAATAATGACGGAGCTGAACATGATTGTGCGCGATCTGATGATCTCTACCGAGGTGCCCCTGAGACTCGAACAAGAGTCTACCACCACCCTAGTTGTATTTCATTAGACGGGTCAGCGTGCACTCTTTCTGCGACTACAAGAAGAGGAGACACCATAGCTTATATCATGGCGGAGTCCGTGACAACACTTAGCTTTGGCACCGACGGTGGGTCTTGGTGCAATGAGGACACACTAGGGATTCTCCCTAGTGAGTTCGATCTCGTTAAAATGAGCGACAACGAAGCGATATCCGCCAAGAAAGCTCAGTGCACGTTCACAGCCCTCCACTCTAAAAGTCCCGATGAGCAGACTCACTATGTCTGGGCGAAAATAGCCCGCGTGCAGTGCAAGACTGTGCTTCCTACGGACTTTGACGCTTTGCAGCCCCATTTATCTGGACGATACACGTGGATGGAAATGTCATTGTGGCCAGCAATCACGGTGGAGAACATAATGGATGTCCCGATAGTGCTCAGCTTCTCACAGAAGGTAAGATTATATCGTGTTTGTTGTTCCATGGTGCAAAGCTGACATCTTTTGCTATTAATGCTGTGTAGCTCGCAACTGCCACTGTTCATGTACCTCCCGCAAGTGAAAAAAGTCTGTCTACGATCAACCCATATGAACCGGTGGACACTCAACTGCAGTATGACCAAGGCATGAGCAATGCGGAGTCACTGGATTTTTTATTGCAGTGTAGCTCGGCGAAAGATCCGAAGGACCAGGTTTTTGTCTTTGAGGGATGCAAAGTGCTTGTTAGTTTTTGCGACGACCATCGGCCGATGATCCGGGTAAGAACGGAACGCATTCTCAGTGTTGCCAACATGACGCCTAGCGATCTGAACATCAGCATTGGAAGCCCTCTTGGAGCTCAGGGTGGAGGAGCTATGGAGAGGATTGGTTCATGCGACGAGCGGTCCATTGGCTTTGCTGTGGTCAGCAATCGACTGGTGATTGCAATCGCGACAGTTGAAGCTTTGAGCAGCGCATCGAACCATATCGAATGGTCTCCAGAAGTCGCATTGAACGTGAAAGGAGACACAAAGCCGATTGTTGTACCACCCGCGCAGGCAGGACTGAGGAGTCTGGCAAGTGTGTACTGTATCGAGTTGGTCAATTCAGATGGATATTTAAAGCTGATCATCCGTCCACAAGTTGTGGTGATCAACTCGACGGTAAGAACGCATGTTATCTATCATGATGTCCTTGATTGATAAAAAAAGATAAAAAAACTAACGCACCTTGAAAAGAACGGTGACTTGAAATGTGCTCCCACAGACGGGCGAGGAAACGCACTTGTTGAAGACGGCAGATCATCGGTGCGTTTATTTGAAATGAGATTGCTAGTACGGAGCATGGATGTGACTCGTATTTTTTTTACTGTGTATTTAATCCGCAGGTGGTCGCGGGGAGCAATTCTGGGTGGAGTGTTCCTGTCTGTCTGCACAAAGAAGCGAATAAACGGAGTATTACGGCTGATATGTCGTCGTGGTTAAGCTCAAAGCTATCGAGGCGTCCAAGCAAAGACCCATTAAAAACGGTGAAGCAAGCTATGGTGGCAAGGCTATCATGCTCTTTTCGAGTGACTCTCATGGAAGATGGATACGAGTGGACAGAAGAAATAACAGTGATGCTCCCTAAAATCCCTCTCCTGCTCACTTCAGATGGCAAATTGAGAATTGCTGAACCGGAGACGTCGTCAGCAGGGCCTACCAACACGCAAATAGGCCTATATCCAGCCCCATCTACGACGACGTACCGAAGACGCTTACTAATCCGCCATCGTGACTTCAGACATAAGGCGCTGACGTACACCATCACTCAAAAGGAAAAGTCCATTCACATTATTTTCTTCGTGGACCATCAACCGCCTGTGATTATCCACAACCAGTGGGAAAACATGCTGGGCTTCCGAAACGTGTCATTCCCATCGGATCCGGAGGGTGTTGGTGCGGACTATTACCTGGAGTATGATTGGAGTCTGCAGGTACGATATATTCTATTAGTTTGCTTTGTTTTTATGGAATTCTAATCGTTTTTTGCTGTAAGGTTTCTGCAAAGCATCGTGAAGCAACGACAGAAGAGAGTGACGCCGGTGAAAAGGAGCGTGATGCAGAGAGTAAGCTGCTAAGAGATTGGTTGGAGGCTTCATCTCAGTTTTATGAGAATGCCGACGCGTCTGGCACAACAACCAGTGAGCGCATGCGATTCCAGATCGGATTACCACAATACGGGTGGTCTAATTCGCTGTGGCAGGTTGGTGGAATTCAGTTCGCGTCTTTCAGCACAGAAGACGGGATTGCCCCCACCTTCTTAGTCATGTGCTTCTATCGAGTAGGATCGTGGCTCATATCCATCACTTGCCTAGAGGACCCGACTCGTGATGGCCAGGTAAATCCTACGCCGTCGTTAATGTTGCCTTCCGTGGCATCTCCAGCGGAAGTTGACAAAGCTGTTCCAGCGTACTTGAAGGTTGGTGTGGTCGTGGAGGAACTATCTCTTCACTTTTGCGACGAGCATGATCCTCTACGGGATGCAAGAGGGATGATTCTGTACCCAGAGATTCTACGAGCAACGTGCAACGCTGTGTCAATTGTATTTGCGACGGCTCCAGATCCGCCAGAAATTTCTCGTCACAGCGCTCGCTTGGGCTATCTGTCGCACATTCGATCGTACACAACTTTATTCGTTGCGGTCGAAGATATTGAAGTGGGGCATTTTCTACAAACCTGCAACTTCCCGGTAATTCTTCACTTCCCAGAATCACATGCGTCGAAGAACTCGCTTCAGTTTGATCGCGTAAAGAAGCAAGAGAATCTGGGGAGTTTGATGGGTAAGCTACTTGACAAGCAACTACCAGGTGCTGAGCATGCGTGCTTAATTGCCAGAATCATCTACACTGATACATGGGACCCGGTTGGCATCCCATCATATTTCCACAGCATCGAGCTGAAATTATCCCCAGCCGTCCTCCAGGTACGATCAAGTCCCTGTTGCAGATTTTCTTTTGCCTTCTAACAGTTTCTTCTTATTATTTTGTGTAGGTGGAAGACGACATCTTGACGTACGTGAACTCTTTTGTGCAGCCATTATTTGCCGCAGCTGAAGGCGAGGCTGCTGTGAGAGCAATGCACGACAAGGAAGATCGGAAAATCGCACCACGTGATGCCTGGAGCTTACATGCGTATGAATCAGTGGTGGTAACGACGCAGCGTAAAGTGTATATCGAGTGGCTGAGGATCAGCAATCTACAAGTGACGATCACAGCGCGAGTCTCGATTCCTGTACTTAACAGTTTTGATGGCACACCGCTGTATTTTGGACCAACTGAGATGCGCGAGGTGTTCTCGTTCCCTGACCAGTTGATCAAGGACTTGGCAGCAGACTACGTGGCTGACACGATTGTCCGCTCTCCGATGCTACTAATGTCGCTAAACATAATTGGCAACCCAGCGTACGTGCTTCTGCAGTTTTATCTCGGCGATCTCTGACAATCTTCTTTTACACTACAGAGGGTTCCTTCGGAGCTTTGGTCAAGGTGTTCGAGATCTAGTAGAAATTCCTCTGGCCGCGTCTAGAAAAGGCTACAGTCCGTGGATACTCACGAAGGGTGTGGTGGGTGGTGTCGCCTCCTTTTTGGGCCATACGACCGCAGCTACACTCACTTCCGTGTCCGGATTCTCGTATTCCATTTCGCGGACAATGGATCAACTCACGCTGCCGCCAGAACAGCTACGAAAGCGCCACTACACGCGTCCAACGCACTTGTCGTCGGCGCTTGCAGATGGCCTGGGATCACTAGGCTCAAGTGTTGTTGGTGCAGCAGCTGGAGTGATCACTACTCCGATTGCAGTGTACAAGGAGCGTCAGCTACAAGGACTCGATACTGGTATTCGAAACGTGGTAGGCGGTGTTGGTATGGGGCTAGTGGGAATTGTCGCCCGACCGATGGGTGGCGTTGCGTCGCTTGTGTCCATGGCGTCAGATGGACTATTGTACGAAATGGGAGGCAGTCGCACACCATTTGATGATTCTGCCTCCCGGTTCGATGCAAGACCTAACGAACTCTTGCGTTACAAGCTGAAAGTGCTACGGGGTGCGATTGGCAGCAGCTTACTCATTGCGCATGGCATTTGGGTTATCCCTGTGGGCAATCTCCTGCTCGAATCTGAGCAAGAACTTGACTACATCTCGGAACAACAGTTGGAAACACCGGAGAACGAACCGCTTCGAGAACTTCTTCTGGCGCGTGATATTACGCATCGTCTGGTTCAAGTGACAGTTGTGTGCTCGAGCGAGTGCATCTATGTCGTGGGAGTGAGCGGAGCACAGAATCAGGTCGTGTTGGTACGAACACCGTTGAAATCGATCGAGGCGGTTGAGGAGAGTCTCAAGGAGCCTACCGTTTTTGATTTGGGCGTTAAGATGCCAGCAAGTGCAGAATGGCTGCGCTTCCGACTGCCACCGCGTCAAAGGCGGCACTTGAGCCATCAACTTCGACTTTGGCTGGCTAAAGATTCGATTGTGTAATCATTAACGGGAAATTTGGCATGCTGTGAATGCTTTTTTGTCAGTTATGATGGGTTTGTTCTTTCTGTCGACCACGTTTGGGGCTTCCGTAGCGGTTAGACCAAACATAATTTGATTTGCGGTGGCGAGCTCGAGATGGAGATGGAGATTGACGATGGAGCGAATGCTTCCTCTAGAAGCCCAGATGTAGGCGCCGAGGGCAAGTTATCGGGTGGAGAGAGCCTCTTCCGACTGATGAAGTTTGTTCGCGAGACCCAATGTGAGATGGAGGTTGTCAAGCCGGTGCTGGATGAATTGGAAGTCATGCGAATGTGCCGCAGCTTCGGAATGATGTCGTCGGTTAACTCCAAGGACTTTTATTTTAATGTTCTTCATGCACGAGAATTTGATGATGATTTCGTACGCTTTCTGCGTTTCGAACTGTTCGAAAGCTCGTGTCCAGGATCTGTGAAGTTGAAAGGCCTATTTGGCAAGCAAGCACAGGTAGCAGATGTGTTAGTTGACATGGAAGCTTGCACAGCCGAGACTGCTGCGACACTGGATGATGTTAGTGAAGGGATATACTGCGCGAAAATTGATCCGGAACACACTGAGGGGCAGTGTAACGGGGAAGACAACGTTGCTGGTGTGGTGGTGTTCTCTTGGATCCGAGATGAGCTGTTTGAACCCCAAGGGCTTCGAGATACTCCGGCGTTTGTGCTGCGATTCTGACGGGATTGACACCTGACATCGTCTGTTGTACCTCTCCATCAGATTTGGAACAGGTCACGACAGCTATGGCTGCTCCAGATGAGCAAGAAGACGGCGAATTGTCGTCGTATTCGGTATCATTCCATATCGAGAAGCAAGAAGACCAGCCTGACAGCACTTCGTGTGCAGCAGTAACCTCTGCTGATTTGGAGACGCTTCCTGAAGACTGCTCCAAGATTTGCTTGCTGAAGGGAAGCTATCCAGCGATTGCTGTCACCAGGCCAATGAAGTCGGTGATCCGTACTGAGCAATTTCGCCGTACGTTTATGGCAGTGCCCTTCGCGGAGTGGCTAAAAGAACAGTCGCAGCATTGCCGGATTGATTTGAATCCGGCAATTGTCCGGTCGGTGAAGCTCTGCCAAAACATCCTGAAGACATTTGATATGTGGCCCGAGGATGAAATGGATGCTGCTCGAGAAGCTCAAGAGAAGAAAGAGCAAGAAGAATATGAGCTGGCAGCTGAAATGCTGAAAGAGGAGATTGCGGAGCAGAGAACGATGGTGGATCAGGCATTGAATGAACTGTTTCGACTCCGCGTGGGTGACCCCGCACATGACGCTTCTAACACCTCGCTGCAGACAGCCTTGACCGCTTACGAGGCGTTTCGAGAGTGGATTAAATCCACATGTCTCTGGAAAATTGATGAGAAGATTCCATTGACCTTAGACGCGCCTGGTCGCTTAGGAGAAGTGGGGGGAAAGCTATTCGTTCTCTACTCTTGTGGCGATACCGCTGACCTGAGCAAATTGCTGGAAATGCGTGCTACCACTTCCACCTCGGAGCTGTTGAAAGCCATCAAGAATCGGAAAGCAAAGGAATCGAACCCCGAAGTGGACATCGAAGCCAATGAGGATTCGTGGGAAATTTTTGTGAAGAGACTATCCGAACCATTGGCTAAGTTGCAGACGAAGTGGCGGATTGGCGTAGAAAGTGTCCTTGCAGCGGCCAATGAAATCAAACTTAAAGACCTGGAAGGCGAGCAGAAGCGAGCCAAGACGGCTTGGTACGACCATGAGAGGTCGATTATAGAAGGCAAGTTCGATCAGCCACGCCAAGTTCTGTTATCGCAAGATGGATTGCTGTTCACTCTGAGCGCGTATCCCCGTCGTCGGGGAACTATTTATTGCGATGGATCACGAGAAATGTATACCCAGTCCTGTGCAGTCCAGAACATTGTCAAGTTGAATATGCCGAAATGCGGTATCAGGCGTCAAGAGTTGCTGGGTTGGCATTTACTTTCTTCGAACGAAAACTCCGTAGCGATGTTTACTGTTAAGGTGCGGTCCGCCATCAAAATTTGCACCGGTAAGGAACGCATGTGTGTTAAGTTTATCTCCTTCCCACCGAGCGCGGATCACGGTAGACCATCACGCGCGAATGAAAGGGTCATTCGTACACTTGGGAGGTTTGCCTCGCTTTGCGATTATGATGCCCCTAATAGAATTATGACTTTCCTCTCGGAGGATTCGGTGGGGATCTACAAGTTTGACGAGTCGTTCAAGAAAATGGAGCGCATGAAAGTTGTTGATTTGGGTGTACGCTCCACGTTGGCAGATCTTCCATTTAGAGATGTTTTGCTACTGGACAGCACAGTATACGTGACGGACTCAATTGGGTGTTCGCAAGGTATCAACATCCGCAACAATCAAACGTCCAACGTCATGAGCATACGTGATGAAGACGAATCGACTTCGTTGTCTTGCAGCCAACTGCTAACACTAGCGGACAACCTCGCTATGGGAGTGGTGTCGTGTGTACCAAGTGATGATGGGACTTTCGAAGGAATTCTCGAGTGCATTTCTCGAGATGACCATCGTCATCTCCCAGTGTTGAGTCTTGGTGTCAAATTCCTCACAGACAGGGTAAGCATCCGATGTGTTGACGACGAAGTGCTCGTGCTTGATCCGTTGGCACAGAAAGTGTATTTCTTTTCTATCCACGTGACTGTACGCAGTGATTCTTACCGAATGCGGCAGTCTGATAATGCGGGTTCGAAGGTCGCTGGAAGTGGCACAAGCAAGGGAGACTGCCCACGCAAGCTGCACTGGATGTACACGTTGTATCACGTCTTCGAGAAGTTTCCTGTGCGTGCCTTGCTGGACGTTGGAAACTTTTCTCCGATGTCGATTCCAATACTTTACGTGAGAGCTACCACGACTTTCTTTCGCTACTGATGAGCGATCTTATGGCTCTCAACAAGCCGTTGCATGGGCTTGATTTAATCAGTCGTCTCACTGTGCAGCGTTCTCTTCGTGGAGTGACTACACGTATAAAGTCGAAGCCGCTGAAGTCATTCTTCCAGACCCTCATCACATTCTTGCCGGTGCAGATCTGCCGTGCCGAAGGAAACGCTCTGACAGTGCTTTATGATGGTTTGGATCAATCTTTTAAGTCAGAAGACGATGTGCAAGCATGGGGAGCAGCAGATATCGCAGAGTCAATTCGATTTGGGCTTCTGTCCCCTCTTTTACGGGTCTGGCAAGGTCGTTGCATAGTGATTACATCAATGGGGAAGCAGTCTACAGGGAAGAGTTACTTCTTAAACCATTTGACTGGATCGTCATTCGCTATTGCTGGAAACCGCTGCACGGATGGTGCCTGGATGAGTTTGCGCATTATGGAAGATGTCCTGCTTGTCGTGTTGGACTTTGAAGGCCTTGGTTCCTTCGAGCGTACAGATCAAGAGGATGATTTCCTCTCAGTGCTGAATGCTTCTCGTGTCAATTTTTACGATCTTCCGCATGGAAATGCGCTTCGATAAGGACATCGATGGCCTATTCACCAAGTTCCAGAAGGGAATCAATTTGCTGAAGAATGACGACCGACTTTTCCGGGGAACGCTGTACATGAGTGTGAAAGATGTCAATCCGAATGATCGCCATGATGTACTCTCCGAGTTCCAGAAGAAATTCCAGAAGTTGTTGACGATTAACCGCGATAGGAACTTTCTAACCGAGATGTACTCTGGTAACCTGAAGATCAACTGCTCTCCACCTTTGGGAACATTGGGATACCATGACTCTGTGCGTCATGCTCGACAGTTGATCGAGAAACTGGTTAGCGACCCAGACTTATCGCGTGGCTTCAAAAGTGGGAGTTCTTTCCACGATTGTATTCGTTTGGTGCTGGCGAAGATTTCGATTTTGGATTGGACTGCAGTCGATGAGAGTTCTCAGCGACTTGAGATGAATGAACTTCATCGAAAACTTCCTGGAGCAATTCGCACCGGATGTTTGATCCCCGTAGAGGCCCAATCGAAAAATGAAAATTTGCCTCGAAGCCTGAAGGACCCGCTTCTTTACGACAAGAGTGCGCTGTGCTTGTTGGACTTACAGCAACTTAGCCGTGATTATCCCTATTTTTCAGAAAACTGGGCAAGCGTCAATCAGGAGGTGCCCCTGGACGATATGGATGACGAAGACGTTGATTTTGGACCGACGCAAACGTTGATACGAGCTCTATTCACGACACGCTGCATAGTCTTTTCCAACGTTATTTGGCGCTGATTTCGAAGGGACCACTACAGTAGAGAAGATTGTGTGCAAGGACTATGACCATTTCGATGCGATGCTGTCGTTTCTAGTCGTTTCTAGTCTGCCGCCGCAAGACAAAGGTCATTTTGTGGGTCAAGCAGTCGTTTCTAGTCTGCCGCCGCAAGACAAAGGTCATTTTGTGGGTCAAGCAGTTTTTAGGAACGGTGCGATTTATGGACGAGTGGTAGCAAATCGAGCAGACTTTTATTCTCCCTTCCGAGGCTCTCATCAGACGCTGTCTGCATACTTGCGCTGAGTGCCAACTTCAGTGCATGCGATCAGCATGTCATTCGTTTGATGTAGATCACGATTGCGGTATGAGTCATACATGCCGCGGTCTTTGCGAGTACTGCGCTCTTAACTATCGACCTGGGAAGGCGATGCCTCGATGCGCAGGAATAGCTGGCCATGAAGGGAAATGTGACTGTGTGAAAGGTGATCACACGTGTGGAGCTGTGTGCAGTCTGAAAGACACTTCCAACTGTGGAGGGCTTTGTGTGTTGACTGGAGGGCATGGTGGGGACCATCGGTGCTCTGTAAAGCAACAGGGCTGCATGCAGCGCAGCAAAGTGCCGTGGCAAGTGCATCTTGAACACAGAACATTGTCACATAGTGCACAAGTGTGCCGAAACGAAGTGCAAACACGAGTGTGAGATGGATGGCTGCAAGGAGCGATGCAGTTCTGCAGACCACTTCCATGATCAACCCGCTGACTGCACTACCAATTCTCCAAGACAGCCAATTACCATTAGGAATAGATTACATATTGTATACTTGTGTCGCGGAGAACGGACAAAGGCTTGAAACAAACCCGGCGATGCCGGGAGGATTACTTGTCTGTGCTGTTCACGTCACACTTGCAATGCAGTTTGTGAGATGGATGGAATCTGTGGTAGGAGTGTTCAAGTCTCGATTGACAAGTTCTCGGGATCATGTGATACATTTGATTACGAGCTGAAGCAAATGATTGGAGTCCGCAACAAGTGTGCAACGATTCTTCCTCCTGGGAAGACAAACCACGAAGGCGAAGCCCACTCGTGTGTGAAGCTGCTGCCGAATGGGACTACAACTGTTCACGGATGCGGAGTGCGGTGTGAAGCTTGTGAGTATTATTGTAAGAAGCCCATTGGACACGAAGGAGAGCACTCCGCTGCTCATGGAAATATGAGCAACATGCATTTCGTTGCTGAAGACGCTGTGATCAACTGGGAGGACCGAAAGTACGTGCCTGGCGAGAAAGGAGTTGCCGAAATGTGTAACATATACTGTTCTTCGGCTGGACGGGGTCACGTTCACTACTTGAAGTGCGATAAGGAGACTGTCTCTGCTTGTGTGTACACGGGCTTGCAAGATCAACGCCGTCATTGCATGACTGAGCTCAAACCACGTCCCGAGCACCAGGTCGATGAGCTTCTACATGAGAGATACTGGAAAACGATAGGATGGGAGGACCCATGTCGATCTGCTTTGGAACGCGCCCTATTTGCGAAGTGTCCGTATTTGTGCGATGCATTGGAGCACAAAGGCGAGAAAAAGTCGCCGTCCTTTTGTGACTTGGAAACATGGCATCAGCCTGCCGCCACGCCCTGCATTGCGGAACGACGGGGTTTTTCCTATGTCAGTGGCCATCGTTTCGCTTGTTCTCATACGTGCTCAACAGGCAAGGTGCACCATGTCTTTGTGTTGCACTGCTCCGGGTCGATGCGAGGAGAACCGTGGAAGGAATTGGTGAGCGGCGTTCGTGGATATTTGCAAAGTCGATTGGCTGCTGGTGTTACGCAGGATATTGTGTCTGTGATCACGTTCGGGCAACAAGGAACTGTTGAGTTCGAGCGCGTTCCGATCAAGACGGCTACCTGCCTGCAAATCCCCTTCCGCGGAGGCGGAACGTTTTACTCGAACGGCTTGAGTCAAGCTAGCGCCATTTTGTCGCGCACGAACTTGAAGGTGTATAAACCAGTGATAATCTTCTTCACTGATGGACGTCCAGCGGATCGCAAGAAAGGACCAGCGCTGGCGGTGGACGTTCGCAATCGCTTTGCCATGTTTGGATTGCGGACATTTGTCGTGGGATATGGACGAGCAAGTGAAATCGGGCTGGAGGATCTAGCGGAAAAGTTGGGCGGATCGGTGCATGAAGCGCTTACTGCTGCGGATCTAGGCGAGGCATTTAGCTCAATCTCGATGTCGTTGGGAGCTCGTGCCGGGCTCATGCACACCACGGCCGCTATTTGAAGGGGATGGATTTTCATGTTGGCAGCCTGCTGATGGAGCGATAACGCATTTTTAGCTTTCAACTGATGTGGCGCAGAGGAAGAGGAGGTAGGAGGAGTAAGTCATAGCCATCTGACGTTTAATCAAGTTGCCGTGACCCAGTAAGCCTATGATACTACTGATTGCATGTCTTACCGATTCGAATATGCTGTGACTCAGTTTCCGCGCTGTCATTGTGACGGGGTCACACAGCACCTTGCGCTAGAGGAAGTTATCTTCCGAGAGTATACAAACTCTCAGTGAACGGCAGTTCACAGGTCCCCTCTTTAATTAAAGAGAGCGAAGTGACCTAAATAAGGTAGATTGTAAACTGAGTATATTTATAGGTAGGTTAAGTTTGAGGTTAATACAAACTATCAGTTACCTATAGTAATGCAATGTCATTTAACCAATGGTTGGTTTTGAATGACCTTGGTACCTTGTACCAAATATCCCGGAGTATGACATGTCATACTCCTGAAGTGTGAAGTGTCACACTTCATGTAACCAGGGTACACTTAGTGCTACGTACCCCGTTACATCCTCCCCCACTTAGGTTCGGTTTACCGACCAATCAGAATGAAGAGATGTTCGTCACAAACTCTCATTCTCAAAGTCGAAAACCATCGACTCGGCCGCGCGAGCGCGGCGGAGGCTCACTTTACAGTTAGAGCCTCGAGCAGCAACCTGTGCGCTCTTCGTCAAGGTCTCCACTTCGACCGTTAACATGCCTCGTGGCACTGCTAAGAGCGGTGCTAAGACACGCTCCAAGGCTGCAGCCGGTAAGGCGCAGGCCAAGAGCACTAAGCCTCACGGCAAAGGCTCTGCACTTAAGGAGGCTACTCAGGTGGCCTCCGAGGCTATCGGATCCTCGGGTGACGCGGCTGCGGACAAGCGCGCAAGCAGGCGCCGCAGTCCGTCGCCCTCGTCTTCAGACAATCGTCCGAACCCTCGGTTCGTAGAACATGAGTTCAACTCGGGCAGTGAGGACGATGCCGAGTTCGAGAGCACTCATGATGCTCCTGCGGGCTCTGTGGGAGGGCACAGCCCAGTGCCCAGTGAGCACAAAGAAGACAGCGTGCAGTCGTCCGCTAGTGATCACGGTGATCACAGTCCCAGGACCTCTGTGCGCTCTGAGAGTCCGGGCCGTTAACGCTAAGGCACTCCCAAAGCCGGTGGCGATGAGGAAGGAGTCCTCGCAAACGTCTCTCGCTTGCCGAGGGTCTGCGCGCGCTAAGGCCTCTAAAGCCGAATGCGCCTAGTCCTCAAAGAAGCGTACCGCC